ATATAAGCACGTATAAACACATATATATACACGTTTATAAACACATATATAAACATATATATAAACATGTATATAAACACTTATACAAACACGTATATAAACACATATACATAAACATATATTGACAACTATATAATTTTATCCATGCTTCATAAACATACAACATATGCTGTATTGAATAGCATCACATAATATCATAATTTAAAATCAAGGGTAAATGACATAATGTAATTCCATCACATATATAAATATATAAAAATAGCCTGATGAAGATACAGATACAAAATATATGCGCATGCACAGATGCTGTCAAAACAGATAGAAACACTACACAGATACAGAAAAAAATGTAAATGTATATGTAGATACAGACAGATAACGCAATACAGTCACGGTCCAGTACTATAGCATACCAAGGCAATACCCCAACTTAACCAGACACATAAAACTCTACTGGGTCTACGCCTCACTGCAACTGTATTTTCGAGGCCTAAATGTCACATCCGCTTAACAGACTAGAAGAACAAATGGTTTACGTCAATACTCAAACACTGGGAAGGATCAAGTAAGACCATCATATCATAAATCTAAACAATTACTTTCATCCTTATAATCTATTGCAATTATGGTTACTTATTTATGTCTACTGAAGAAAAATATCAGGCAATTTATACATAGATAACTTCAGGCAACTTAACCCTCTGTCATATCAAATGCAGCATCACAATCACAGTGGACTATCTGAACACGAAAATATAGAAGAAAAAAACTCAAACCTCTATCGAACTGGTCTCCAATGATGATGATGAACGTGATGCAGGTGACGAAGCAGTAGATGGAGATACACACAGACGCTACCACATTCCATCCCGGGCTACACATGTGCAGAATCAACTGCAGATGTCAGGTATACACACCCATTAAAAATTAGTGTGTATATTTACAAGGTAGGTAGGTAGGTAGGTAGGTAGGTATATATATGTGTGTGTGTGTGTGTGTGTGTGTGTGGGGGGGGGGGGCATGTGATGTGGTGTGCAGTAGAAAGGTTAAGTAGCTTTTAACACCCGCTTTAGAATAAGAAGAGAAAAACAATCATTACAAGATTAGTTACAAGATTATGTAACCCCTAAATACATATAATTTGACTATTCGTACATTTGCATCACGAAAAAAGTAAGTTTCAGGGAAAGAGAGATAAGCTTTTACTGCTGGAGACTAGACATGCACATATGAGATATTTTCAAGTACCCAAAACATTTTATCACCATGCATTTTCGGAGTAATAACTGGAATAAATAAAACACGGTAATATTTTGAAAGGTGACTTATTCAACCCTTTACCAAGTGACACCCCTACTGCCTCCCCATCCCTCATTCATCCTGCTGCTGTCCCTCATACTGCCCCTGTCCCTCACATCAATGCCGTACTGCTTCCCCTCACACATCCTGCTGCTTCCCTGTCCCTCACACGCAGCCCACATACATGCCCTGCTGCTTCCCTGTCCCTCACTAATCCTGTTACTTCCCTATCACTCACAAATCTCATTAGTTCCCTCACTCACCCTGCTGCTTTCGTGTCCCTCACACGCCCTGCTGCTTCTCTGTCCCTCACATACCCTGCTGCTTCCCTGTCCCTCACACCCCTGCTATTCCCTGCCCTCACAGCCCTGCTGCTTCCCTATCCCTCACATACCCTGCTGCTTCTCTGTCCATAACATTCCCTGCTGCTTCCCTGTCCCTCACACACCCTGCTGCCCTTGTTTCCTGCCCTCACATGCCCTGCTACTTCCCTGCCCTTCACATACCCTGCTACTTCCCTTTCCCTCACACGTCCTGTTGCCTCCCTGTCCCTCACAAATCCTGTTGCTTCCCTATCACTCCCAAATCTCATTAGTTCCCTCCCTCACATATCCTCAATGTTTCTCTGTTCTTAGCACAAATATGCTAAGAGTTAGAAAAGTAAATGCACAGACAAAAATTTTAGGACATTTATTTTATTACCTTAATAGTATTTAACAAATCAAAATATTAGAAGGCAATTTTCACTAAAGCTGCTCTTATTATACCACCACATTTGACAGAAAAAACAATAATAATGATAACATAAAATCTATAGTAATACATACAAATCTAAGGATAAAAAAGTGCAGTGTATAATACATTAGGGTATGTGTTTACTATCTAGCCTAAAATCATGCATCCCATAAAATAAAAATGATAATGAGAACACTAATTACTCTACCAACACTATAATGTACACACTAAAACAGAAAATTGGGAAAGACGACACAGCCTACATACACATACACTCAAACCTTAGCCTACATGAAGTGCTGTGCCAATAACTGTAATGGGAATGGATTGCTCACCTCCTGGTATGTTTTACAATTTCTCTCACTTGCACACCTTGCAATGATAATAAGAGAGCCAAGGGCAAAGGATGTGAAGATCTGTAATGAAGAACATCATGTAATGTGTGAGTTCTTCATCTCATTAAATAATAACAAAAGTTAATTTTCAAATAATAGTGAATATAATAATTTTGCTTTGACCTGAAAAATATAGAATCATGGCTGCAAGGGTAAAAATCTAAATGACATTGAAAAAATCTTAGCTTCCATTTCATTCAAAGAAAATCTAAGCTCTAACTGCTATAAAGACAGTCTTAGCATCAACTCACAATATGAACTAAGTTCCCAGAAACAATTCCTCCTGCTTCATGGAATGCTCTTGGGAAATTAAGAAGCCCAGCACCTAATGCTGCATTGACTATTAAAAACATTGCTTTATACCACGTGATTCCTGAAAAACAAAAATACATTATTACTAACAGTACTGATGCTGAAAAAGAAAAATTATTACTGACAATATTACAGCTAAAAAATATATAAATTTATAACATGAATAAAATATGACCAAAATAATGGTTTATTATCAGTTATTGTGTTACATATAACTGATATTACAGCAAAAATCTAAGAGTTTTGTTGTTATTGTTTTTCCAAATAAAAATTTGACAAAAACCTTTTTAAGCATAATATTGCATCTTTATGAAGGAGAATAAATTTACATATTAAAAGCACTCTCTTACAAAGGGAATCTGGTATTGTGTCAAGCAATTCTGTACCTGACTGGTGCAGTCAAAGCGCAAACAAATCTGAACACACAGCACACAAAATATTTTATGGCTCTTTAGTGCAAGGTTCACACACAAAATATTTTATGGCTCTTTAGTGCAAGACCAAGATCAGGTTGACCCTGGAATCCATACTCTATTCGGCTAGAAGTTAAGGAAGAGACTTTTGCATAACTGAAACAATAGGCAAGGAGGCTGCAATGGATATCTAACCATCAATTTCTTTATTTTCTAACTTTTAAAGATTCAATTTGTAGCAATTATGTCATAAGAGGAAAACTTTTAAATATCATGAGTATGTAGATCCCATGTAATGTATACCTGACCGTAATTTTACCATGAAGTCACAACGCAATTTTAAAAAAATAATAATAAAAAACACTCTGCAATTTACTCTTAAATGTTAAATTGCAATTCAGAATAATAATAATGTTAAAAAAAACAGTCTGGTACATGACGCTGGGCTAAACAATACCAATACCACCTTACCCTTTTCTTCCCCGAATGAACTCGTAAGCTGACAAGACATGAAGAGATCCTGGTCAACATCTTCAGCGAGTTCATCATTAGGTAATAATTCCTCCGTATCCTGTTCATAAAGACGAGGTGTAACGAGTCCCACAACAGGCTCATGGTGATGATTCCTGGCACTCGCACTTCTCTCTCTACTCCTGGCAGCTCTTGTGGCTACCGTTGCTATTACGACGCCATCGGGATCATCATTCTCAGGAATATGTATCTCAGACATGGTGAATTTTCCTCCCAGAGACGTGGGAAGCGAGAATTACGTCAAAAGCGCAATCGGGAGGAAGGGGCGTCTCTCTCTCGCTACGAATGTCCATGTGATGTTTACATTTTCGCGACCGAGCAGGGATGCCAACTGTAAAGCGAGGTCAGTCAACTCCACCACTGTCATGGAACCAAATCTTTTTGTCTTTTTTCCGTGAATCCTATCCGGTTTACTTGATTTATGAGAGTAACACTTATTTCTGATTGCTCATGTTGCTATTGGTCGCAATTATATCAAGAAAATCATAAATTCTATAGTTGTTCTATATATTGTCATAATTGCTACGGTTTACTGCCATGTTAACCAGCTGATCCTTCATAGAAAAAGTTTTGATGTAAAACTATTATAAATATCTCACGAAGGCTTCTTTTGTTAAATGAATTATGATGTTATTGACAGTATTGTACAAGACATACGGTATTATAATCGTATTGATTCAAAAGTATGAAGGCGTAATGTAAAACATACATCAGGTATCAAACATATATAATTATAAATTTTCTGCAGAAGAAAAAATACTTAAGAAATAGAGTATGTAAAAAAATTGCAAGGTCAGTTTTCAAAGTACAAGCTTAGCAGATGTATATACATCCTGTATCATCTTAATTGTGGTAGAGAATTTTACCATTTTTTCTAAACAATTTTATATAGATCTACTCCCACTAATACATTTTCTCTGAAATGATACTTGATATTCTAAGAAAACGAACAATAGTTTAAGGGGGGGGGGGGTAGCCTGATTAAACATTCTCCAGCTATCACAACCTGATAAGTTAACATCTGGTATCCACCCTTCGCTTCCAACAGCGAGGGACCTTCACGGCGAGCAGCCAGTCAGGCTCTCAGCTCTTCTCTAACTCCTCGCCACAAGTCTGGTCAATCAGCCCTAGCCACGACTTCCTAGGTCGTCCCATGAGCCTCGTCCAACCGTGGTTGTTTCAGGAAGAGACATCCTGATGGGTAGGGTCATCCACGGGGGAGCGAGCTAGATGCCCATATAGCTTGATTGGCAGTCCCGGATTGTGCAGGAAACAGGTCCTATGCTGGCCTCACGGTGTGGTCGTCGGTTGGAAACATGGTCCTGCCAACAGAGGCGGGCTTCCATGGTGGCACAGGGGCACCCCCCCCCCTGAAATCTGATTGGCCACCCCATGTGCCCCCCAATGGTCATTACTCCTCGTAATGGTCCTGTATATGTAATGTGGCGGCCCCCAGATTTATTGTTGTTACCCCTGTGCCCCCCACCAGAAAGTTTTCTGGACCCGCCCCTGCCTGCCAACTGCAACCCATGATCCGACGCAAGAACCTGTTGCAAAAGGCATTAAGACGTGACTCCAAGGTACAAGATAGCATACATTTCACTTCCATAAAGCAAAAGTGGTGGTATCAGGGACTTGAAGAAACGTAGCTTGGTGTTTCTGTACAGATACCGGCATCTCCAACTATTCTTGTTGACGGAGTTCATGGCACCTGCTGCCAGGCCGATCCGTGTGCTTTCTTGGTCTGATAGCCCAAAGTCATGGACTACATTGCCAAGGCATGTATCATGGAGCATGACTAGGCGTTTGACCTCCTCAGCAAGATTCCTGATATACTGTTCCCTGTGCCTTCTCAACAGCGTTTGTCCTGCGCACCATGGAATGACGCAAATCCTGATCGCCATTTAGATCAGAGATAACTACAGTGAACCTCCAGGCACACTCCTCCCCCCTTAGTCTGTCCGGATGAAACACCTTAGGGTGGACACTGGAGGGACAGGGGGTTCTGAAGTGGACCCGAAGGGTTGCCACAACCAGTCTGTGGTCGATATCACAGAACTCGGAACTCCGGTAAACCCTGCAGACCTGGAGAATGTGGTTGATCTCCTTAGCCAAAGTGCCATATCACTATACCATGTGCAGGGATACGGGTTGGAGAGCTGATACCAGGAGCCAGAAATCCTCAATCTCTGAGATTCCGAGACCTAGCAAAGTCCCGGAAAGGTGCTATGTTTGCTGCTGGAATCAGCCATGGGGACCAGCTAGAGCACAACCCTGATACAGCATTGAAATCTCCCACAATAATGTAAATATTTTGCCGGGTAAAACTGTCTGCCACAGATGCGAGTTTGGCGTAGAACACCTCCTTCACATCGAGTGTGAAAACATTAGTAGGAGTGTACACTGCAGTTAGTGACATGAAGCCAAAAGCAGGCTTCAATCTAAATATCATTAATTGCTCATCAACTGAAGTAACCTCCATTGCCGAGGGTTGAAAATGGCCATGGCTATCCCCTAGGGACGATTATCACTTCGGCATGACCAATATTAGATGTAATCACCCACACTGATCGTGCCGCTGCCAGGTCTTCTGCCAGGCTCCTACCCGGATCTGAGGTTGAGCTTAGTCAATCACTCCGATTGGACGCCACCTCTGCCATCCCAGCCGACATTTCCCCCATATGGATTGGGATAGCAAGCTGAGAGGCCCAACCACCTGTGGAGTTACCCTAGACTTTTCCCCCGCAGGCTTCACACTGGGTTGGCGACTGCCGGGACACAAACAGGACGAGTGAACCCAATAACATCTTGCGCCCCAGCAGCACCCCCCCCCCAAAACGGGACCAACAGCCCTCTTTACTTGCTGGGTAGGAGGGGCAGTACCCCTCCCCTAGCATCTCCGTTCATAAGTGACGGTGCCAGTGGTTTTACTTTGAGGAGGAGGACTGGTATGGTCCATCTTCTCATTCTTCTTATTACTTATCTATTAATTTACCTAATTTTTGTCATCACTACCATATAACAGTTATCGGTATTATCCTCGATATTACTTTTATCATTAACATCATGATGGGAATATAAAAACTCAAATGGCAGATAGTAATAAGTCAGTTATTAACATTTATGCATATCGTATGAGTGACTTTGTGCGTAAAGCGGCATGTTACGGAGAATTTTTAAATTGAATTCGGTAAAAATAAATAAATAGATAAATAAGAAAAAGAAATCAGAAATAGGGATACAGTGATATAATCAGTAAAAAAAAAAAAAAAAAAAAAAAAGAAAAAAAAAAAAGAAGAAATAGGGATACAGTGATATACTCGATATTAGGAAACGAAGAATCTTCATGATTGGAGAAGGCACTATATGCTGTATATCCGTCTTTAGCATATTACCAATTCACTGTTTTTAATTCTGTATACTGTTAACGATTAGTTTTTTAGTATTACACATACAGACCACTGCTAAATATTTCCCTACAACCTACTAGTCTCTAGTCAGCGATATTATCATCTTTCAAATTTGAATGTCAGTTATGAAAGTTATCTTATTCATCTAAATAAAAAAAAATCAAAAGCACATGTAATAATCATAATATGAAATATATATATATATAATTTTTCTCATGTCCAACCGCATGCTTCTACAAAAACGCTATGCCATATTCTAGGCCGTTCTTGTAAGTGAATGCGGTATCCGGTTGGAAATGTAAACATGTGAGACAGGAAAGATGTTTATCTATGACTTGTAGATATTAGCCTATGTTAGGCCTTTTTCGATATTTTTTTGAGTAACATTGGTGAGTAGAAGATACCATTTCATGTTTTTAAAGGACGTGCATACATTTCACAAAACATAGACGGAGATTAAGCGATGTAATTAAGAATTAACATTTTTCGTCAATTTGCACATATATAGTTGGTATTAAATGTACTCTAATGCTGCGTTCGGAACTCCTTGTCTTGCTCGTCCAGAAAAACGACTTGTCAGGACCAGCAGGACAACGAGGCCGCTTTCAGAACCTCCAGGACCCTCTCTGCCCAGAATGCAAGCAGCTCCAAAGTAAACATTCACTATTTTTTCACACGGGTGTCTTTATTTCACACTACATAGGAATTTGCAATTGCAACCCCACATCATTTTTTTTTTGTGTGTGTGTGTGTGTGAATAGAATAATTTTCTAGTAGCTTTTGTTGTGTTTTGAACGAATATTCTACTCATTTCCATCGCTAACAGAGCATAACTACGTTATCAGTCCCGATAGCTGGGAAGGACATAATGGGTACAGGTCCAGTTCCATCCAGCTGCCTTTTAGATGAAAAAGGATATATGCAAACAATAGAGTGACTAATTCTAAGAAACTTATCTTCTATATATGTCAACCGCAGCTCAATAATAATGAAGTTATTGGACGGGCCAGGCTGCGGGTCATTGGGAGGTCTAGGTCTTTGTTGTCGGGAATTGCAATCGCTATAGTAAGCTGGCTTCGTTATCTCAGTGATATTTTGTGATGAAATTGAAATAATTATTCTCACAACCTACACACTGTCTAGCCATGATAGAACTGATTTGAATTTCACATCACATCACGTTCACACATGAATCTAATTGGCTCATTTGATTTCCCTCGTATACGTCATCCACCACAAATCTGTCTGATTTTCCATTGCTCTAAATGACTGATGTCATTTTGTCATGGTGCTGGAGGTGTAGGGTTACTGCAGCACCTAGAAATCATGGATTTTATACTCTCTATAATACCGTTATTATCAACATAGAAGAAAACTTTCATAGAATGATGTGTTCTACTACTTGGTAAAACTCAGATTCTTTAATTCAGGTGTGGGGTTGCATTTCCAATAATACAGGTGCAACTCCTTTGCTGTAAAATTAACTTACCTGAAACTGACAAGCACTAAAATATCCTTTGATAACATCAAGAAAGGGCAACAAAATTACCTGTCAGTATCTTATGTTTGCCTGCAACTGTCAGTGTTTACATATAAATCCTATTGTGACGTCATCTCACCCTGCACACCCAGCTGCAAAGGAGGGTGAGATGAACAAGATGGACAACTTGTTCGTGATGAGAAAGTAGAGGTTCTGAACGGTCAAAACAACTTGCCCACTTTGTCTGGACAAGCAAGATGAGGAGTTCCGAATGCAGCATAACTTCACAAATAGCAGATTGATGCACTTGATGATATGGTGTTTGTACAGGATAAACAGTCTATTACCATCAGGATAAAGCAAATCAAATGATGAATAGTAACATTGGAGAATGGCAAAAAAGCTGAAAACACTTCTGCATAAAAAGAGAAAATAACATTGCAAAGGGGAGGCATAGAGTCTTGTCCCCGCACACAAGTGTTTGCGTATGCCTGGCCTACAAGCTACACACCCATCAGAGCAACTGCTCATATAAGCCTCGTGCCAATTTTTTGGGCCATGTGATTGCCATGAAGCAACCGAATGAGCCACCAATGAGCCAGTTACAAGTAGTACTAATCACACCAGTCTACTTGTTTCCTTGATTTTAGAAATATTTTCTGGTATCTTATATTGCTGTTAGTAATGTCAGTAACATAATAAGTATAATGTCTATAATTATAATACCACAGTGACAGTCCAGCAACTTGGGGTTAAGTCAAGTAATTATTTTTGCACCATCAGTATTGTTAGTATTAGTAAGAAAAATTTTTGCTGCAATATCAAGGAAAGATGAAATCAGGTGCCAAATACTTGTAGAACCATTTATGTGCAAAGACATTTCACAGTACAATACCACAGTGAAAGTAACATTTTTCCAGCAACTTGGGGTTAAGTCAAGCAATTATTTTTGCTGCTTCGAAGATTTTGAGTTTGTCACCTTGCAATAGATAGAAACAAGGAAGCCTTTTCACAGTTATGAAAATGCAAAGGCCCTCTTGTTATAGGTTATATAAATGATGTAGTGAGGAAATAAGTTCTGTAAGTTACTTTATACTGTGAAAAAAGAAAGATAAAGGTTGAAGAAAAGTCCTGAACTTAAAACATTTTCTTGAAAGTAACTGTTGCAGAACTAAAAAAAAAAAATCACATGATTGATATTATTTATGATAAATGTTATGGGATTAACCAGAGTCAAGTATTCATTATTGGCCAGAAGTTCCGAACCCATGACCCAGAGCTTAATTCACTGGTGGGCCATAGACACTTACTAGGTTATGTAAGGCACAGTTGTAGAATTCATTTTTAAAATCTAAATTGCCAAAGTGCATATCATCTGACATGCTCTGCCATTTTGTCTTTTTGTGAACCCATTGGCAGTGGATGGCACAACACACATACCATCTCCACTGTGATTTTAGTTTGGTATTTGCATTTGCACCGAGATGCCTTCACAAATGCTTAGTCACTGGATTCAGTTATTATCCCTCAGTTTTGACAGGCCCATGAGCATTTGATGAGCATGTTGAGGAGTAGGCCAAAATCTTTAAAAAATTGAAAACTCCTGGTCTATGTCATGTAGGCCTATGCTGCACATGCAAACTCACAGTATGTCAGAAAAAAGATGAATAGGACTAGAGTATTTTATGTAAAGACAAGTACAGGTAGGTCTGGATGTTACAGTTGACCATTCATTTCACACATATGGTATTATTGTATAATATCAGAATGTAAGTTTTCAAGCAAGAAGACTGTCAAAGAAAAGAAAAATATAGAAACACATTATTATTGTGTTACATGAAACTTATTTGTTAAAGCTCATAGTTTGAAGTGCAAAAGAAGAAATGCCATATATGTCCAAATATGTTGGTACATTTGTATAATGTGATGAATGAAATTAACATTTATTTTGTTCTTCAGGTTGATGTCTTTATTTATGAGTTTAAAAACTATTATTGAAAGTTGCTGTAAAGAAATGTATACCTCTTTACTGACTCCCCCATTGTTTTTCCAGACAATGGCAGGATTCCAGGAGCCACCGACCAAGAAGCAAAAAACTGAGAACAGGTTTTTGGGAAGCCACATGCCCGTACAGCAGTCCCCCATCAGAAATGGTGTTGGAGGCGGTTTTAACAAGGGAAACAACAACCACGGGAAAGGCTCTCCCTTCCAAAAGAACGCCCCAGGCCAGAATGGGTTCATGAATGGCAATGCGAAGAACACCGAACACCTGAAGAATATTGTGAAGCAGAGGCACGCCCTCCCCATATTCCCCACACGAGCCAGACTGCTAGAGGAGTTGAAAAAAAACGAGACAGTGATTGTTATCGGTGAAACAGGCAGCGGAAAGACAACACAGATCCCACAGTATCTGCATGAGGAGAGATGGGACAAGAAGGGAGGAATTTGTGTCACCCAGCCCAGGCGAGTTGCTGCAATCTCTGTGGCCAAGCGGGTTGCAGAAGAGATGAATGTGCAGATAGGGGGTCTGGTGGGCTATTCTGTGAGATTTGAGGAGTGTGTGTCTCCTGGAACAAAATTGAAGTATGTAACAGATGGTATGTTGTTAAGGGAAGCTATATCAGATCCATTGCTCAGTAAGTATAACTGGGTCATTCTTGATGAGGCCCATGAACGGACTATAAGCACTGATGTGTTGTTTGGCATTGTAAAAGATGCCCAGAAGAAGAGAAAGCAACTTGAGAAAGATAACTTGAAAGTGATAGTTATGTCAGCCACCATGGATGTTGATCACTTTAGTCAGTACTTCAATAAAGCTAAGGTATTGTACATTGAGGGACGACAGCACCCTGTGGAAATGCTGTACGCCAGAGAAAAGCAGGATGATTATGTGTTGTCTGCCATGAGCACAGTCTTCCAGATACATAAGGAGGCTCCAGCACAACATGACATTTTGATCTTCCTAACAGGACAGGAGGAGATTGACTCCGTCACCCATAGCATCCGGCAGGTAGCAAAGGACAACAGCTTAGCAGAGTTCCCCAGAATGAGAGTCCTTCCCCTCTATGCTGCCCTACCATCGACCCAGCAACTAGATGTCTTCAGAGTGACAGCACCAGGAGAGAGGAAGGTGATTGTGAGTACAAACATTGCAGAAACCTCCATCACCATTCCTGGAATCAAATATGTGATTGACTCGGGAAGAGCAAAAATAAGGTCATATAATCCGGTCAATGGTTTCGACTCCCTCAAAGTCAGAAAGATCTCACAGGCACAGGCATGGCAAAGGACAGGCCGTGCTGGAAGAGAAACTGCTGGGTTCTGCTATCGAAGTTACACACTAGAGGAGTTCAATGCGATGGAGGTGAATCCTGTCCCAGAGATCCTGCGCTCAAATCTTGCCAGTGTGATTCTCCAGCTGCTGGCCATGGGTATCAAGAATATCCTTACCTTCGACTTCATTGATAAGCCAAGTCCAGCGAGTATCAAGCAGGCTGTTGAGCAGTTAACCTTGTTGGAGGCTGTTGTTATGAAGGCAGGCCAGTTGGAGCTGACAGACTTGGGCAAGAAGATGGCACAGTTTCCCCTTGAACCCCGTTATTCAAAAGTGATTCTCTCAGGCCCACAGTATGGCTGTACTGATGAGGTTGGTTGATTTTGTGTGTATGAATGTATAATATTTGAAAAGCCCTTGAATGTGTCTTTTACATTTTATTAATATTTCCTTACAAATACAGGTTTTACTCTCTTTAGTGAAATGTGAGATTTATCTCTGTGTGACTGTAGTTCAAAGATTCTAGTAGTCATGTTTCACAAGATCTTCCCTACTTTACAGGTCCTGTCTGTTATTGCTATGCTGTCAGGGGAATCCATTTATGTCAACCCTAGTGGAAAGAAGGAAATGGCTGCTAATGTTCGGCGCAAATTTTTGTCTGTAGAAGGCGATCATGTTACAATGCTCAAAATCTTCAGAGCATTTAGAGGCTCAAAAGAAAACAAGGTTAGGAGAGAATATTCTGTTTTATTATGTTAGTCATATGATTACTTGTGAATCTTCTTAATGGTACAAGTAAAGTATTACTTGATAAATACAGAGGTATGATATATTCCAGTTCTTTATCTTTAAAACTCTTTTATTTTGTTATTAAGACTTCATTTTATAGTTTTAAAAAATTCTCCGAATCTCTCTTGCAGATGTGGTGTCACGAGAACTTCCTGAACCATCGAAACCTGAAATATGCTTTGGAAGTGCGGAAGCAGTTACATCAAGTCTGCCAGAGAAATAATGTTACTTTAGTTTCTTGTAACCAAGATATGGATGCTCTCAGAAGGTACATATATGTGTTTCCTTTCTGTATTTTTCTCTCCATAATGTGGGATATTGTATATGTTAGTTACTCTATTTATATGATATTCATATACTAGTTACTATATTTGTCAGTGGTGTATTTCTTTATACGAACAGTAGGTTAAGCAAATTTGAAAAGTATATTGAAGTGCTAAGGCTTTTTTTTTTTTATTATCTGAGGAGATGAGGGATAGTTTTACACACACATATATATCTATTCATCAGAATATATAGGATAAGTTTGTTGGAAGATAGCAGGTGAATCAAGAAAATGAAGAGATAGAAAATGCCTTCATATGTTTTCCCAGCAACTCATCTCATGGTCATTTCTCTGCAGATGCCTTGCTGCTGGACTCTTCACAAACATTGCTGAGCTCCAGCTGGATGGGAAGTACCTGTCACTTGATACCAGGCAAGAGTGTTCCATTCACCCAACATCTGTCTTGTTTGGAGGAAAACCCGCGTACATCCTCTTTACTGAACTGGTCCATACTGGCAAGATGTACATGCACATCAACTCGGCAATGGATGCGCAGTGGCTGTTTGAGGTTGCCCCGGAGTACTTCAGAAAACGGCATATCAAGAAAATGTGAAATAAGAGATGTGGAATACCAACTGGACATACCTTTTTGTAGGCCTACATGTGATACAAGTTTAGTTTGTTGTTCCTTGTGCCGTGATATATTTGCATCAACAGTGTCAGAAAAAATGCATTTGCTACCTTCCCCGCCAAAGGTCTGTGTGAACAATGTAGTATTGAGCCTCTGCCAGTTTTTCCCACTTGGACCTAATTGTCTCCTGAGAAACCTCGCCTCCTATTGTGTTATTGGACAGCTGTCTTTCCTACTGTTCTTATTAGTCAGTCCCCCCCACCATGTCACCCTTCATCTTACTGGTATCAGAGAAGGAAATCTTCGAAGAACTTCCTGGTGGAGAACTAAACTGTGTGATGAAAGAAAACAATTTAGTGTTAACTGGGGAACCTTGAGGTAACTGTGATCATTTTCCCTCGATGAAATAAGGTTCTCATTCAAGGATTCTGCAGAGCTGACTGGATGGGAAATGTTTTGTTATACGCTAGCTAGATTTATATAACTTTGTAATTTTTATATGCTATTCTTTTATACAGGAAAAGGATCCTAACTCTTTGTACATTGTTAACAGAACCATGGTATGGAGTACCTTTTATGTACTTAAATAGGGGATATAAAAGGAGAAGGAATGGAGAATGATAAATATGTAGATAATGAAATATATAGAATATTATGCATTTGTGTGAAAATATGGATTTTGTATAATATGTTTATTAAATGGTCTTTGGATACTTGCTCATTATTATACTGTACTTCAAACTTTGTTATTGCTATAAATGTATTTGTATAGATTTTGCCCACATTTATTTTGAATAACCATTCTATTCCCAGCTTTCAAAATCAATTCTCATGATCATAATCGTCCCATGAAATACTGGTATGCCAGACACAGTAAAATTACACATTAAACTATTCTTTTGAATTGAACAGCAGTAGTAAGTAATTCATATTTGCTATAATGTATTATTCATGATCGTATTAAATACTGCTATGGTAATACCTATATCTCTAAAAGGAACTTCAAATTGGTTATTAAATGGTGGGGGAACACAAGAGACAAGAAAAAATTAAAGCCCACGTAAAATAAACCTTGTTAATCTATCTACCTTTTTTATTAAAAGTAAAAAGGAGTGTAAAAATATTGGTTCTGAAATACTTTTAACTTAAATCAACTAAATTTTCTGGTTCATCATTATTTTTCATCGTTTCCATTGGTAGTGCAATACAACTCTTCATTATAGGAATGGTTGTACTCTTTTCATAAAGCAGTCATTAATAGGGATTTTTGATAGCAGTATACACCTACCAAAACAGTGTAGGATACAATTAAACTGTTTTTTTAATATCTTTAGTTTTATTATTGACTCTGCCTAACTAATACACATTGGAATGTACATAAATATACATAATTTACACTTATACAACTCACCAAATTAGAACAGATTCATACCTGTACATTTAATAATATTTTAAAAGTAGTATCCCTACTATCTTTTAAGGAAGTTGTTTTCATACATGTACCACAACCAAACAAAAAAAATCTACGGGAGAAACCAAACAAACAAACAAAAAAATCTTTACCATCCTTGTTGTTTACTAAAATCACTTGTTACCTGCTATTTAAACTTTGATTACTAGAGGATAAATTCGTTAAAATTCATTTACAACCTTTAAATTTTTTATATTTTTTTCTTGTCTAAAGCTAATACTGATGGACTGGCTTTTGTGCATGGTAACAGCTGGTAATGCAGATAGTCTATAGCTAATATTTTCACCTGGTGTAACTGGATCAAGTTCTTAAACATCTGGGAATGTGAAAACAAAGAAAAACACGTCCCTTTTCATGACATACCAATGAAAACTATGAGGAAAATAAACAACCTACCCCCCCAAAAAAGTATTCATATATATTCATACATCTATCAACATTTTAAACATATTTTCTGTGGTATTTGGGAAAGAAGAAAAAAAAAAAAAGGGGGGGGGGTAATCAAGATGTTTCTTCTCTTGCTCAACATCAGTAGATATTTCTAGAGATGTTCTCCTAAAAATATTCTCTCTAACTGTTCTTGTTCACCCACATTTGCCAGCCGGAAACAGCAAGAGTCACTACATACAGCCCGGCAGAAATTGCACAGTTGACGGCAATCTGTAGATGAGAAGAACGCAATTATTATTTTTTTCTCTCTCTTTTTGCTGTATCAGGCAATTATACAAGTGAAAATGCTGCTTTCATAAACACAAAAAGCAGTAAAAGTGAGCATTAAACCAGTTTTATAAATATCTGCTTCCTTAAAACCAAAAATCAAGAAATACGGCTTGAACAAGTCTATAAATACCCCGCATGACATTTGAATTTGAAACAGTGCAGGGGCAATGAGTATAAACAAAATTGCACAAGAAAATCTGTACACAACTTTTCCAAACTCTAAAAGTTGGCATGATACAATGACACTAGAGCTACATTTATCAAAATTAACATACATGCAGAATAGCTAAAGTAAAATTGAATATTACAAACTACAGAAAAGAGAAAATAAAGAAAAACAAAACTTAAAGAATCTGTGCATGACTACTCTCTACACTGCAAATCAATAATCCTATAAAATGTGCAATATCCAGTCTACAACGTCCTAAATTACATTTCCTTCCAGCACAGCCTCAATGAAAACTGTAATAAGTAAATCTATAAATTATCTATAAATTTTAAATTATATTCTCTTACTAAAAGTCAGAAGAAATGCTAGCATGCCAACAAACTGTACGCTTCTTCTAACAACTTACCCTCTCCATATTTTTACATCGTGAAAGCATAGAAACATTGGGACTGTATTAGTAAATGACAAATATTGCAATCACTGTAGATTTCCAAACGTCCCTATAAACATTTTTTTTTTTTTTCAAAATAAAAATGAAGTGATAAAATAATAATAATGAAAATAATAATAATAATAATAATAATAATAATAATAATTATTTATTATTATTATTATTATTATTATTATTATTATTTAATTATCATTATTATTATCATTATCATAATAATTATAACATAATTATAATATTAATAATAACAATAACAATAATAACAATAACAATAAATAACAATAACAATAACAATAACAATATAACAATAACAATAACAATAACAATAATAATAATAATAATAATAATAATAATAATAATAATAATAATAATATAAAATAATAATAAAATAATAATAATATAATAAATAATAATAACAATAATATATAATAATAATAATAAAATAATAATAATAATAATAATAACAATAACAATAATAATAAATAACATAATAATAACATAACAATAACAATAAATACTAATAAATAATAACCAATAATAACAATAATAACAATAACAATAAACAATAATAAATATAATATCAATAACATCAATATTATTAATAATAATAAATAATAATAATAATAATAATAATAATAATAATAATAATAATAATAATAATAATAATAATAATAATAATAATAATAATAATAATAATAATAATAATAATAGTAATAATAGTAATAATAGTAATAATAGTAATAATACAAATAAACAGTAACACAAAAAAAAAGTCAAACGAGACTGACTGTATTTATCAACTTTCTTGTATGATATAAACTTTCCCACAGACAAAAGTAATAACCATTTATGTTCAAATTATGATATTCTGAGAGAAAAGAAACGATATCTATCACCAACCTATCTGAATAAACATTCCTTCCATAGTAATATATATTTCCAAACCACACTTAAACCTAAAAGAAAAGATGATAAAGGGAATCTAGATACATACCGTTGAATACGAAGTATCCAGAGCCTTCAGGAATTTCTCTGCGTCATGGTGATCATGATCGTCAATCTTCAGGTCCTCAATAAAGGCGGGGGATCTTACATAGAAGAAGATGGCCATCAACCCCTACCAATTAAGAATAGGCAAAAATTAAGAGCTTCTTAATCTGTAAAATGTTTTACATAGATAAATTTAGCTTTACTTGAATAGGTTATAAAGATGTATAATTTCAGAGATACATATTGCAAAAAGGAGGCAGTGCATGAAATGTATGGCTCAATTACTTAACCCATCTGCCCCGGGTTTATGCACTGTCCACTTATGCAATTTTTGTGGTTTTCGCTGTGCACAGATGGCTTCATATGTGCTAAGCCAGCAAGGAGTCAATTAGTATGTCCTAGTGACCATGCTAATTTATCTGTTCTTTGAATATGTGGGAAAAAATAGAGGAAAATGGTAAACAGGTGAGATCAGTAGGACTAATAATTAAGCCCTTGGTGACCAAGCACTTGTAGAGCCATCTCTGTGAAAACACAGTTAATAAACAGAATTATAGTCGCCATGACTAACTAAAAAAATCATCTATCAGATTTTAATCATTACTTGCTAATGAACAAGATGATATACCCAATGCCATCTTATCAACAAGCAACTTCCAAGTCTTCCAAATTCTAGGAAAGTAAAAAAGTAAATTGTCAGGAAGGTCTACAACAACTCTACAATGCACTGACAATTTTACTGGCACTATCTTGTATCATATTGTACGAAGACTTATGGTAAACAGCTTGAGCAAAATCAATTTATTCTCTGAATGGCAGGTTGAAATGTGACAACTTATTATTGGTCATACTATATTCATAAAATAAAAAATTGTCATTTCTAATCTGTAATAGAATTTATCAATGTAAACCTCCTTGGAAATCTATTGTCTAATATGAAACCAGTCCAGTGTTCTCTCCTACCAGCATTCATGAGGTGCTAGATTGTTGAGTTCTGCCAGAACACTGAAGGTGAATATACCACAGCAATTGCTCTGTTATATCTATTAGATTATATCATGGAAGGAAACTATCTTAGAATAAAAAAATATAATGATTCTATTCACTATTTACCTTGAACTATTTGTCTGTCTAAAACTGGTATTGTACCAATTCTAGAATCATATTTACTGTAATCTAGAAAAAGGAAAAGGCAGTATGCATGAATCTATTATTGTATTTCCTCATTAATAACTACTTCAGGAAATGAGTGAAAGTACTGATTATTATTTAAGAAGTAACAGTGCCCTTCTTAGAATATTACTCAATCTTAATGTCGTCATGATGTAAATGCATACCAAAGTGCTATATGTTGCACATCTTTTGTATCATCAACTTGCACATGAAATACCATAGATGAAAACTATGTTAAATTTTGCCATACGGCTGATGCTATACCTATTTAACAATTCCTTGTAATACTATTATGTAAAATAAAGACATTTTTCATTCACTTGCTATTCTCTACAATGAATAAAATCAATCTAGAATACACACTGATACAAATACAAGATGATAAAGCATGCTTATCCTATTCACAAAAGGGTAAAAATTCTGGCAAAGTTTAGCAAGGCCAAGGTCCATTATCAAACATTTCTCCACTCGGAGTATTGTCTGTCCAGCTCATGGAAAGGTTTACAAATGTCCTCCCAGCCACCAGAAAGTAGACTACAAGATGGGACCATATCCAAAGCAGCCTGACTTGAATGCTGAATTTGCCGAGACTATGAAAGAGATAACATGATTTTGACCCTACATAATTTTCTGGAATAGTTCTGCTAAACAGATTGTGATGATTTTGGTATCATTGGACTCCTATCACTCTCGTTTCTAAATATATAGAAATTATTGAGTGGAAACTTCCGTATTAGTGACAATCTTGACCACGATAGCAGAGGAGGGTATGAAAGGTACCAGGGAAATTGTGGGGTAAAATATGAATAATATATACAGAATCATTTATTATATTGCCTAATGCTATTATGACCAAGAATGTGGGGGTTTGGGGGGTTTCTGCCCAATAATTTCTATATATCTGGAAACTAAAGAGCGAGAGGAATCCAATGATAACAAATTCATTACAATCCATTTCGCAGAACTATCCTTAAAAATCACCGAAACTACCTAGCAGGATTTTATTATGCAAGAGTGAATGGCGATATTTTCCAGCTAAGTTTAGGATCGACATTGGGTTAAAGAGATCATGAACTGAAGGAATTGGCTAGGCAAGAACAAACCATTTTACAAACGGAGTCGCGTACCTATTAAACACCCTGCTAAATTGTGTCATACCAAGCCCAAAATGCTAAATCTGTCGACTACACATACACCAGAAGAGCCAATATACGACACAGACTTGTAGGCAAAATACCCTTCCTCAATGATGAAGACACTGTCACCACCCTCACCTATTTTTACCTACCGACACTTACAAATACCCCAAAATCTCAAACTATTCTCATGGACAGATACTCACAAGCTGTATGATTGCCCACACACTCAAAATGGTGCAGCAAAGGGACAATTTGGGGCCGCAAATCTTCATCATGACTGCGATATCCTTGCAGGGAGAAATCCTCCTGTCAACTCGTGATCGGATTGTTTTGGTTCGACCTGTTGCTCGTCAGGACAAACGGGGCAATATTTTCTTTCGGAAAGTCTTTTATTTGCTCTTTTATTTCTTTTCTTTGATACGTCAGTCATAGAAAATTGTTAAAAATATTTTTATAACATTTACTGAACAATTAAGATTTGTTTCGAACATTTATTGGGCGTTGATTCTAGTCGGTTTGCTAGTAATATTTTTCATCTTTTGAAAATCACCTGACTGACTGGAGATGGTGCCAGATAGGAATTAATTATCGAATTATAAATTTCATGTAATAAATACCTAATATTTCCTTCGTAATTCTAGACTGCATGCATGTGAACTTTAAAAATAAAACATATACATATTAGCCATATTTTCACTATATATGATCCAGCATATCCGACGCAAATAAGGCTGAAAGAATTATTTTTCCTTTCACCATCAATATATCTTTATAGCAAATCCCCAAATTACTATCTGATACCGTAAGGATAATAGCAATAATATAAATAATCCTGGCGATATATGCAACACTAACTAATGTATTTCCAGGAGAAATAATCCATCGGAGAAGTAGTCGAGTTTAAAACACAATCTGTAATCTGAGTTATTATGGTGATAATGAAAATACACGATGATGGTAATCAATAATATTAACTATGATGATGGTGATAATGCAGATGATGATGGTGATTATCATTATTAGCACTGTTGGTTTGTCCTTATCACTATTGTTATTGTTATTATCATTATTATTATAATCATCATTACTATTATCATAGTTGCTGTTATCATTATCATTATTATTATTATTATTATTATTATTATTATCATTATTATTATTATTATCATAATTACTATTATTGTTATCATTATCATCATCATAATCATCATCATTATCATTATCATTATCATTATTATCATTATTATTATTATTACCATTATTATTATTATTATTATTATTATTATTATTATTATTATTATTATTATTATTATTATTATTATTATTATATTATTATTATTAACATTATCATTATTAACATTATTATCGTTATTATTATCATTGTTATTATTATCAGTAGTAGTAGTAGTAGTATAGTAATAGTAGTATCATTATCATTATTATCATTATTATTATCATTATCATTATTATTATTATCATTATTATTGTTATTATTATATTATATTATTATTATTATTATTATTATTATTATTATTATTATTATTATTATTATTATTATTATTATCATTATCATTATTGTTATTACTATTATCATCATAATTATTATTATGATTATTATCACCATCATCATCATTATTATCATTATCATTTGTTGTTATTAAGAATGAAAGTTCTTGTTTTACGTCGCCCAAAAATGAAAACTAATGAGGCTATTTTTCCTTAATCATTATCTATTCTACAAGCAATAAATTAAGATCACAACAGCTTTTCAAAGTCATCAAATCTTCTCAGTTCTTGTGGGTAATTGTGACACTTTTCATTTATATTTACGAGTAAAAGTATTCTCTCTAAAAAGCATGACATGAGAACAGCTTTTCAAAGTTATCAAATCGTATTTTTAGGGAAAATAATGGAATTTATGGACTCAAAACAGGGACTTTGATTCTCATGGTTTTATCATCACCATCACTATTATCACATTATCAATATCACATTATTGCTACTATTTTTATTATCATTATTATTTCTCATTATCGTTTTTATAATCATTATTATTGCTATTATTATCATTATTATTAGTGTTATAATTATTATTATCATTACTATCACTATTGTCATTATCATTACAACCTTTTCATTATTACTATCATCGTTACTACTATTACTAGTATCCTTATCATTTCTGTGATGATGATGGTGAGGTATTATTATTATTGTTATTATTATCATTATTATTATTATTTTCATTATCATTAATATCATAATTATCATTATTATTATTACTGTCTTTGTTATCATTATGATTAGCATTAGTAGTAGTAATAGTTATAGCTACTATTATCATTACCATTACTATTATTTTTATCATCATCCTCATCATTAATCATTATCATTAATATTATTATCATCATCATCATCAATCATTATCATTATCACTACTATTATTATTATTATTATTACTATTATCATTACTGGTATCATCATCGATAACACTATCATCACTGATACTGCTAGTAACTGTATCTCGATTATCTTTATCATTATTATCATTACGTAAAGATAAGTTGCTATGATGAACGTAAGAACACACACACACAACACACACATACACACACATACAACACACACACACACACACACACACACCACACACACACACACACACACACACACACACACACACACACACACACACACACACACACACACACACACACACACACACACACACACACACAAACACACAACACACACACACACGTCGACGTGTGTATGTGTGTGTGTGTGTTTGTGCGTCTGTGTCTATGCATGTATGTATATAAAAGTATGTGTGTACATGCTCTACATATCATTATGACTGGCCGGAGATCGTTAGGCCTGCCTTCCCGCGCAAATTGTTTTCGAATGTCTTCTCGGGAAGTTGCCAGATGAACAGTTGCCTTTGTTCGCCTTATGGTATTGCGTCTAATTCTGCTTTTGTATAAGGCATACATACAAACTCTTATAAACACATCAAAATGCATACACATACAAATGTATGTGTATACATGTCGTGTGTGTGTGTACACACACACACACACACACACACACACACACACACACACACACACACACACACATGTATATATATATATATTTATATATATATATATATATATATATATATACATATATATATATATATATATATATATATATATATATATATATATATATATATATATATATATATACTGTATATATATACGTGTGTGTACGTGCGTGATGTGTGTGTGTGTGCGCGCGCCGCAAAGTATACGAATATACATCCTCTATTATTGATCGAAAATGTATTGATGCAGACGACAAGAACCGATCAATCCCCCTCCCACTGTCTTCCACGTAAACATCTTTTCCATTCCGTTTGCGCTGTTTATTATTATTATTATTATTATTATTTATTATTATTATTATTATTATTATTATTATTATATTATTGTTGTTGTTGTTGTTATTATTATCAATTATTTATATCATTATTATTGTTGTTGTTGTTGTTTGTTGTTATTAATTATTATTATTAATTATTATTATTATTATTATTGTCGTTTGCATATTATTATTATTATTATTATTATTATTATTATCATTATTATTATTATGCGAATTATGAAATAAAGTTACATACTATTTAACGCGATTTTTCCTAAAGATGATAAAATAATATGTCCACTTTAAAGTTCTAATTCAAAGGGTTGTGATAAGGTCTTTGTGCATTTAGAATAAATATAATTTGTAGTTAGGCGTTAGAAAAATAAGAAAAGAAAAAGGAAACAATAATAGAACAAAAAAGAGAAGAAAAAAACAATAAGAAAACAAAGAAGAAAGAAGAGAAGAAAAAAACTAGAATACACTTACACATACTTGTGTGTGTATGGGTGTGTAAGTATTTAATACACACACACATTATATACTCTACATGCACACATTATATACTCTAAAAATACATTTTTATGTGAGCTTATGTACGGATATATGTATATGTTAATATCTGTGCATGTATGTATATGCGAGTGTGTGTGTATGTGAAAGCACAGAACATATCTATTGGTTTTGCGGCCTAAGTAGTTGCCAAGATGAAGAAAAAATTAGTGAAACAACGACCTAGGTGAATGATAAGCGAATTGCATACTTAAGACAAGGTTATTAGTGGTGAGAATTGAATGGCAGAGTGAAACAACAATCTAGAATGGATGATAAGCGAATTGCATACTTATGACACTGATTAGGGTGAGAGTTGAATGGCAGAGTGAAACAACAATCTAGAATGAATGATAAGCGAATTACATACTTAAGACCCGGTCATTATGGCGAGAATTGAATGGCAGAGTGAAACAACAATCTATAATGAATAATAAGCGAATTACATACTTAAGACCCGGTTATTAGTGGTGAGAGTTGAATGGCAGAGTGAAACAACATCTAGAATGAATGATAAGCGAAATGCATACTTATGACACCGATTTAGTGGTGAGAGTTGAATGGCAGAGTGAAACAACAATCTAGAATGGATGATAAGCGAATGCATACTTAAGGCACGATATTAGTGGTGAGAATTGAATGGCAGAGTGAAACAACAATCTAGAATGGATAATAAGCGAATTACATACTTAAGACCCGGTTATTAGTGGTGAGAGTTGAATGGCAGAGTGAAACAACAATCTAGAATGGATGATAAGCGAATTGCATACTTAAGACACGGTCATTACTGGCGAGAATTGAATAGCAGAGTGAAACACAATCTAGAATGGATGAAAGCGAATTACATACTTAAGACCGGCCATTAGTGGTGAGAATTGAATGACAGAGTGAAACAACAATCTAGAATGGATGATAGCGAATTGCAACTTAAGACCCGGTTATTAGTGAGAGTTGAATGGCAGAGTGAAACAACAATCTAGAATGGATGATAAGCGAATTACATACTTAAGACCCGGTTATTAGCGGTGAGAGTTGATTGACAGAGTGAAATAACAATCTAGAATGAATGATAAGCGAATTGCATACTTATGACTTATAGGGTGAGAGTTGAATGGCAGAGTGAAACAACAATCTAGAATGAATGATAAGCGAATTACATACTTAAGACCCGGTTATTAGTGGTGAGAATTGAATGGCAGAGTGAAACAACAATCTAGAATGAATGATAAGCGAATTACATACTTAAGACCCGGTTATTAGTGGTGAGAGTTGAATGGCAGAGTGAAACAACAATCTAGAATGGATGATAAGCGAATTGCATACTTAAGACCCGGTTATTAGTGGTGAGAATTGAATGGCAGAGTGAAACAACAATCTAGAATGGATAATAAGCGAA